CACACTTATACAGTATAGCGGAAGTATTGACCGACACGTAGCCGAGGTCGATGCTTCCGCGTACTGTCTGAGTGTATACTTTGCGGTACCTTCGTAATAACCTCATTATTATTTTCCCGATCCAACCGTTCGATGTATGAAGCCCACAACTGAGCAAAATAGTGAATATAAGCGGAACTATCTCATTATGAACTTCGTTTTCAAACCTGTCCGCCGCCTTGGAACTACCGCGTAATCGTTCCATTTGAAATTCGGATTTCCTAATATGGTAGGATGCATATAGCTCGTGCAATACAACGTTATTACGGCACACTGTAACTTATGAAAATACGGTGACAGATGTATAATAATTCAAGATACAAATAAAGAAATACTATTTTGGTTATTGCCAATGGCAATGAAAAACATTGATGTGTATGTGCATGCGCCAAATAAACGAATATATAGTAAAGTTTGTACATAAGTCACATAAAATAATCAAACGAAGGTACAGATATCCAAAAGGCCATTCTCGTGCTAATAAACGTCCGAATCTGCTCACAGATAAGACGGCCACATGTCAACGCATAAATCACTCCATTAGGTTAAATTTTACTTGATGACTTTCTGATGCAGGTGTGAACTGGTAACTGATGATAACAGCGCGATTAAAAAAAATTGTGAGACCGTGAGAACTCGTTGATTGGATATGATTGCACAGTATGTAGTGGTAGGGTTACAATTATAATTGATTGCATGGCAATCATATGAAGAAACATGTTTGCATCACAGTTTATGACACTAGGAATTGAAGAAAAAAATTGCGAGTCATGTTAATTTCCTAATTACAATTCTGACATAAACATTAGTGTGATGTTTCAATGGACATATTTGACAAGAGAACAATCTCTCAGAACCTGTATAACTAGAAAGCACATTTGACGTTCATCAATGTGGAGGTAAACACTTACGACATCATCTGCCGTTACGAATGATCCCTTAGAACTGACTGCTGATAGTGGCATTTATAATTTATTTGAAAAAAATGCGTGTGATTGGACAACAACACCCCACTGATATCCAATCACAGATCATGTTAAATATTACTCACCTGGAGCGATATACTTCTCAGTACACTTAGGGAAGTTTCGGAACGAGGTGAAGTCGCTAAGTACCGGACGACCACAACAGCGTTACTGCTATTCCCCCACATTTGCTTAACGAGATTCGCCATGAAAGTCGTCAAGCCGCAGCCTGGGGCAAAAACGAGAAAACTTCATTTGAAAAAAACGTATACTAATGATGTACATGGGCAGAGGATTAAGATGGAATGTTGATCTAATTTCCTTTCAAAATATCAAATGAATATATTTAATCTAATTGTGGCAATTATATTTTACATGCCCGCAGTTATCCCTAATTATCAAATTAGGATAGATTGGTGTGCTCCCGTGTGGTGATTTGATCTGTTCGGTGTTTATCAAATTGAATCTGAATTCAAAAGGGCCATAGAATGCTGGTATTCAAATACGAAACATGGAACTACATGTAATGTCTTTTATTTTTTATATACCACCCATGTGTCATATGCTTGCTTCAAGTTGTCAAACATTTCGAACACTACACTCCGAAATTGACACAATAAAAAGTGCGTTTGTTAATTTCCCGGATGCCCAAGTAATATATCCATATAATAAAAGTCGAATGCGTCAACCAATAACAACTGACATGCGACAAAACGTTACGTTAAATATCACTTTGTGTATAATAATTACTTCACAGTTGGGAGTTGACAGACAGAATCCTAACTTTTCATACTCAGAAAGTATTTTGAAATTAATTCGCAGTCGCAGAGTCTTCTTCAAATCACCCAATCATCAGTTAGTTGAATCGATTCAATATCTGAAATGATTAGCGACATATTTGAAGCTTTTGAATTACTTTCCTCAGTGTGTATTCATCGTACTATTGAATAGAAATTACTACACCTGCTTATATTTACGTACGCGCAATCGAATCCGTTTGCCACGTATGTGCGTGGAAGGAATACAAATAAATATTGTGTCGAATTATGTCAACAGTGGCGGCTTTATAGTTATCAGAACAGTGTTTGATGATTCCGAGAATTATAGAATGACCTGAATTTGATCAACGATCCACTGAATACAAGTAATTGAACTTGCCTTTGTCATGTGAATACATATACAATTGTAAAAAGCTGCAAGCTATTTTCCATGCGTTCAACTTTGGCATATGAATGGTCGTATTAGTAAGTTTGCGTGTGAATGATCAATCAGGCTTCAATTTGTTGTCAAATACAAACAAAGAAGACATGAGTCGAATGAGTCTAGTACATGTAATTGTGTTAGGGTACCAATCTTTGTTGTCATTATACCAGACACTTTTAGCTGCGATGATAATACAAACCTACTATGTGAATAGAGTTGTACTCGCGAGTAACTGCGAACGAATTTGATATATTAAAACGACTGTAATGATTTCCGGTTGTCTCTTGTGCGTGCTAGATTAGATCTGTTCAGTTATAGGAAGTATGTCATGTTACGTCTACATGGTGTGAAAACACCAAATCTCTGTGGAAAATCCAGGAAACCGAGGACATAATTTAAACGACACAATTACAACATGAATTGCGGTTTACATAGCTGTGGGGCCATAGCTCTTCTTGTGTCGGGTTTTAGTATTTGTGATGGTATTTTAGTCATTTCTGATACAATTGGTGTCATTAAATTTGCTATTTTCAGACATCAGGATTTTTATCGACAAAGAAGAGCTATGGTTCCTCCCACAGACTTGCGTAACACAAATGTGCGACGCTACGCAAGTTTTTCAAGAGAATAAAATTAAATTATGCAAAGTTTATTTGGACACTTGTTTTCAACGCAAGGATATCTGCAGCCCATGTTCGTCACGCTTGATGTGAACCAGCTTGCAATACGGGATCCATCGCAAATATGATAAGAGGTGTTTGAAACACAAGGCATGTATCAAATCTTGTCGGGGGTGTTATCTATACTTGGAACAGCCAATCACGGTATTGCTTTTATCATCAGCAATATCTCCGGGTACTATAGATTATGGTTATTGTCATATTCGACTAACAATACACAATGTACAATTTTCTTTTCACGAAATACAATTTTTTCATATTCTAGAGTCAACATTTTCTAAAAATTTATAATATATTTTTTTATAAACGAAACATAACGGTTGAAAACAATCGTCGCCATGTAGTGGGTGAACACTTTCCTTTTAGCCGTCGTCCAATCAGCAATTATCATCGACCGTTATGATCGTTTGTGTTTGAACATAGCCGCAAAGACATTAACACTTGGCCGGTTTCGAAAATCAATTTCTGTAAAATGTAAAAATAACAATTCTAATGATGCCATTCTACTAGGTCCCTGGGTTCAAGTTCAAATCTGTAAAATTCACATTTTTTTCCGACAGTTCAGTCATTTCACTGTTGAATAAGCGGAAGAGCAAAAACGAAAGGTCAATTGTCGGAAAACCCGGTTTTAAGGTTGTCAGTGAAATTTAGTGTGAGTGGGAATAATGGTTATTAATGTTTCACAAATGGGTTTGGCATTTTCATTTTCATATCTAAGGTAAAAACGAATTGCTGACATAGACCATTTGTTAATTTCACCATATCCATGTTACCGCACATTAGATAGATATTTGAAAAATTATAGTATGGATTATAGTAAAGAACAGGAGTGACTAACCGGAACAATTTATTATAAATATTGTTGTTCCAATAATTGAGATTTCAATCTACGGATCGAACGCATTCATCAAATGCTAGGTTTACACCGTGACGGCAGTATTTTGTCGGAACCGAACTATTGCCCCGCTCACCAACAGTACATTATCTCTTGTGTATCCATTGTGTGTTGGGGCTGAACGAGAGCCGAGTTCGACCCGGTTCTTCCAGCTACCTCAATCACTTGAGAATAATATATTTTTAATATTTGAGAATCAGTTTCGAATCAAAGCGGCAACACCCCTTGATATTGATGTCTCCCGATGACATTCCCAATACTCGGGATTTATGTCATGACAAATAAGAAGTAAATGATTTCGTCAATCGCCACCGACGAACAACATACATTTTTGTACATGAATTACAAACGACATTGACTCCCGAGTTGCCATGATTTAAATTGAACGTAATTTTAAGAAGGCGATAGAGGGCGTGATTTTGTCCCGATGCGTTTACATAGTCAGGGCCGTGTTGCACCCAGTTCTACCGGAGCTCAACCACGATATTTGATAGAAGCTTAACTCGGCTCGAGCCAGCTCAAGCCGAACACGTTTACACGACGATTTTTGCTGGCTCGAATCGTTGGGATCCGATAAAATGCTGTCGTTTATGAACGAATCATTTTAGATCTATTTGTTTTGATGAAGGTATTGTCCCATTAGCTGTAAATGGTCTATACGCGCTTCGCGGAATAAAGAGCCTTTCTTACAGCCAATCGCAGCTCCTTGATTTGATTTGAATGAAACTAATTTATAGATTGTTTTATAAAATGTGAACGCAGTTTTGTAGAAATAACATTATTTGACATTTTAATTTCTTTTGATAGATTAATTTAATTGCCAATGTTGACTCAAATCGGATAAGGGTTGACGAGCTGATTTATTATACGGCTAAGTACAAACGGACACGGCACTCAAAATGTTCAGGCGATACTGAGAATGCAAGTTCGAATTCTTAGCGTACTCTATAGATCACGAGACATCATGTTTATTATGAACAATTATGGGGCTATATTTCCATGGTAACACGGAACCGCATTCTTGTGTGTACAGTGCCGTATTTTGAGAAAATTGTCCAAATATTTTATTTCTGCCATAAATATCAATAGTAAAAACGTTATAATACTGACAAAAGTATCACTATTCACTGAAATACAACCATCGCTATCACGGAAATAGTCTAAGGCGGTGCCCCCAACTATTTAAGTCAATATTCTTATATTGAGCCAGAAATATTGCAAATTTAATACATTCTGGGTACTTTCGTTTATGAGTAGGTTTCTACCTTAATGTTGTATCTGTGTGTATTAAATTAAGTGATTTTTTCATTCTCTGAATAATCATAACATATCAAATAATTACTTTGAGACATTAACATCATTAACATCAATATATGTATTTGTTGCCCTTTTTCGCAAATAAGAATCCATATGTTTCAGATATATTGTGGTAATACTCTGGCAGTTGTTTGTATATATGTTGGGCTTTTTTTCTTCTGTAGTTTGCATTATTTTTTCTCGAGCGGGGGCTAATCTCGTTGTGACACAGCACAATATATTGTCGTGTGGGGGTTTCCAGAAAACCGCACCTTACAAAAACCGTGATTTAGACAAAAGACAAAATGTTAAATCGTGAGCAAAATTCGTTCTTACCTTGTTTTCCGTATAGTATAAGTGGTTTGTTTTTGTCATACTTGTCAATAGGTGAGTGTGACCCGAAGTACGACAGCACCTTTTTCTTGAATTCGTCCATGCCAACCATACATGATGAGGTATACTGGTGAGTCAATAGTGTATGGTGCGATATCTCCTGAGTCAACTCGTCAGCCGTCGACAGTCTGTTACTCTTTGCCGTACGAACAATCATGTCCACCATGCGACCTACAGCAGCAAAAATAAAATTCTCGATTAGAAGTTAGCTCCCTAGCTCGGTGTTTATCGGTTCACAAATGGTTTCATGCGCAGTAAAATACTAGCAAGGTACATCATGTTTGAGTTAACAATGCTTCACCAAAGCAGTCGTAGTGTGCAGCGTGAAATCTTTCTCTCTATCAACCAACTATTGCTTTAGTGTCTGCCGATTAGGCCGCGTTTACTGTCAGTGAAAGTGATATTTATCCCTGACAGGAGAGGACCCTGTAGTACAGTACATTATGTAAAAATGACCACACTAATGTACTACATAATTACATCATTTGCCAATATAACATGCGAGTACCGTTACGATAATCTTCGGAATGACAACATTAAAAATCAATCCTCAATAAATTTCTCAAGGCCATCCATATAAGGTATATTTTATTACACTATGTCATATGAGCGATGCTTGCTACTATATCACACTAATACTAATTTAAAAAGGTCACTTCCGAATGAGAGTTACACAGCCCGTCTGCCAGTCATGAGCTTAGAAAAATAATTTTATTCAACAAATAAAAGAATTTTAATCACACACCGAAAAAGATAAATGTGCGATTTCATCTAGTTACGAAACGAGATGGCGGAATCCGTAACTATTAAGTAATCACATAATATTTTTTATTGGTTCGGAAATAAGACTACGGAACAGCATGGGATACTTATTTCCAATTCTGAATCGTGCAGTAGACTAATGAAACACTGCGACATTCCACCAAGCAGATGTGATTTATGTAAGAACTGTTTTATATGTACTATGTACTTCAAAGTGGAGAATGGTTTATTTGCCTTGCATCACGGCCTTCATTAAATTACACAGAAGACAGGTGCACAACGGGATACCATAAACCATAATAAGAACATTGAATCGCATACAAAAAGCGTGTGGTGCTTACAATGAAGTATAATTTCAGAGAAGACAGGAAATTGTTTTTCAATGGCGCGTTGTATCTGAATTTAATGTATAAGAGAATCAAATTGAGACAAGGTGTCGTTATCTTGAGATCGGAGTAATAAATATATAATCACAATTCATGGCACCGCCATTCATATACGCACTTGATTATGATTTATCCGGGAATAACTTTGTGTTGCACAAAATTGTATTCATTTGAATAATGAACAATGCAATTGCACAGGCGCTCCAAATCACTACTACGTACTATTAATTTAAAGTGCATATTATTGGTACGTACAATTAATTCAATATGCATATTAGTGGTAAGTACTATTAATTAAAAATGCATAATAATGGTACGTACCATTATTTCAAAGTATATATTACTGGTACGTACCAATATTTCAAAGCGCATATTACTGACATGTACAATTAATTCAAAATGAATATTACTATTAATTAAAAATGGATAATAATGGTTCGTACTATTATTTCATAGTGTACATTAGTTGTACGTACCATTATTTTAAAGTGCATATTACTGGTACGTACCATTATTTCAAAGTGTATATTAGTTGTACGTACCATTATTTTAAAGTGCATATTACTGGTACGTACCATTATTTCAAAGTGTATATTAGTTGTACGTACCATTATTTTAAAGTGCATATTACTGGTACATACCATTAATTCAAAGTGCATATTACCATTAATTCAAAATGTTTGTAAATACAAAGGGCATGTTTAATCGTGTAGTTTAACTTATTTTAACGAATTTTATAGTATACTGCATAAACAATAGTTCCGGGTGCCATGACGACAAGCATACTCCCCCGATACACCGGGCACACAGGAAAGTGTAAATTATAGTCAAGACCCAGAAGACCAGTCTGTCTAGTCGACAATTCCATGCATTACAGCCACACAGCTGTGGATCATGTCTCGGCACTAACGCTACCATGGTAACAGTATATTTCTTCTGTGAAAATCTTAAATTGCTTCCAAGCAGTTGTATGCGGGTTTCACTAAGCCATGTGATACATGCGCCAAGCATTTCACGTATACTCTGTGTAATTGATGTCGACTGTTGACAAAGACGGAAATGCAAATCATTTCAGAAACACTTCAAACTTGAATTTGATAGTATCGGTTTCCTTCGAACACTGTCGCCGGGAATGACGAAACAGCAAACCAGCGATTACAAAACAATGTCTTGAAGACCTGCGACTCTAATAGCACATGTATAGGTAGAAGATAGAGCCGATAACACCTGTACAGCTGCACGTAATGTTTTATGAAACACGAGTTGACTAGAAACATGTTATGCCCAATTTATCAACGTACCGGTAAATATACGCGCAATTGACCGAATATATATTCTTTTCTTTTAAAGTAGCTATCCGTATTTAATTTGATTTTGTATTAAATTGTATATATATACTCCTTAATGTAGAAAGGGATTGCCCCTTTATTGAATTTTCCCGATAAATATAGTCCACTTTTGTGTTATTGATATTCTTTTTTGGAGCTCATATACCTGTGACATATTGCTTGACGTTATCAGACTATGGGTAGCCCCTTGTCGATTCCTCATAACAAACTCTAAGGACAACATCAATTCATCGTTTTTCCGTGTTGAAGACGTTTCTGGAACCCGATTCAAACATTTTCCATTAAAATGTAAAACGCGTTTAATACTAAAAATCTCATCTCCGCTATTTTCCTCAATAATAAGCTTTTCAAAGTGAACTTACGAAATACGGATTGACTGTCTCCATTTATAGCGTGGCAATATGCTCAGATTTATTCGCTAAATATATTAATGAGGCTTACACGTCATGGCGTCAACTTCCTGCCGCAAAACAAGTCACGTGGCTAACGAGATCTCGGTAGTCATTATCTATTAAACTTTAGAAAACACGTAACGTCTGATTAACCAAACTGTGTTCAGTTCCTCAACGTTTTCACTATACCATTAGTTTATACATTTTAGCTCTCATTCTCATATTTGTCTTTACACAGATACTGTAAATGACCCCGGATCCGATCGCGCTGCTGTTTCTCGTAATCGGGGCCTCGGGCAATACCCTGATCCACAATATTACTATTTACAACGTCTCCAATCACATTATGCATATTATATGCATTAACGGATCGGTTACAGTATTTGTGCTGCGATCTAGTATCCACTTTCCTGATGTATATTTCAATGTGTTGCTAGCATGAATGGTGATCCTGGTGTGATAGACATGTGTGCGATGAGTAGTCCATTTATCTAGTCATTTAATGATGTGAGAATGATACACGTGTTAAAACGTCAAACGTTGACATTATTCAAATGTAATTTCCTTTTTTACACACATAATACAAATATCAAACATTCGTTCAATGTTTAAATAGGTC